GGCCTGTGGGCTGGCTTCCTTTTTTCCCCTTGGATGGTTTACTATTTTTCCTCATGTGTATTAAGGGTAACTTAAGACAACAATTTCTAATTCTTTTTTGTTTTTGCTGAGAAACCACTTAGAAGTGGTGCTCCAATTTTTCTGCCATGATCTAAACAAACTACAGAGGTTGAAAATAAATGATGGCTCACAGTTACATACAACTTATTCCTCTTTAGGAACGCAGACTCCTAGATAGTTGGAAACTGCTATTACATTTACCTCTCAGCCTTCTTAAGCATTTCTCTGATTTGCTGTCTGAGCAAACACAACAAGAAAAACACATTAATAATCTGAACAGTAAATTCAGGATGTCTATGGAGATTCTCGGTCATCCAGGTCATCGTTGTCCCAAAGGTACTTTTTCAAGAGGCAACTGGACTTTCTGATTTTTCTTTGAAGACGTTTCGCTTCTCATCCAAGAAGCTTCTTCAGCTCTGTTAAATTCAGGAGCAAAATACTGGCCAACCCAGTTTATTTCTTACATACGCTACAGAAACACAGACAAGAAAAGGAGATCAAATACATTTGAAAGAAGAATGATTTATCTTGGAGTTATATCTCAAGTGTTAATTAAAGATCTGCTATCAGCTGTGAATGTCAACAAGTTGAGGATAAAAATTGTCCTAATGATTACTGTTATTATGCTATTCCACAGCTACAATGCGATATTAATTAGAAAGTCTCGGGATGGAACTAATTGAATATTTCAGCCAATTCAGTAGCAGTGGCATGAAGAAGTCAGTGGAAACATTTCCAAACAATTTCAAATATCTATTGGGGAAGAAGGAGAAATCTCTCCGAAACAAAGACTGAAGAAGACTCCCTAACACATCACATCAGCAACAGTCCTCAATACACAGGCTATCCTTATGAGACCCACAATGAACCCACAATCCCAGGATGAAGAACACAAGAATCATACAAAGTTAAGAAACTAGTAGAATCTCCTTTAAGTCAAGCCTGATTAACAACAGAACTGGTTGTTAAACCGGTTGCAGCCCTCCGCTGGTTTTTACTCTCTGTAGAAGTTGAGTTCAAGGTTGTTTTTTACATATACCCCCATGTCAATGGGCTCCAAAACACCAGAGAGCCAACACAACCTCACATGTCTCTAGACAACACACACACTCAAACACTCAAAGGCTAGTACTGTTTGCCAGACTTCTCTTCCCTCAATTCTACTATAACTTCTGTTCCTCCACTACTTTTCTTTGTGGACCCTACTTGTGGAGAACAGTCTCTCTTTTATTATAAGAGCTGCAGTGGTGCAGTGGTTACAATGCAGTACTCCAGGCTAATTTTGCTGACTGCCAACTGCCAGCAGTTTGAGTCTCACCCTCTCAAAGCTGATTCAGCCTTCCATCCTTCCAAGGTAGGTAAAATGAGGAGCCAGATTGTTGCGGGCAATATGCTGACTCTGTAAACTGTTTAGAGAGGGCTGTAAGAGCACTGTGAAGTGGTATATAAGTCTAATTTCTGTTGCTATTTCACTGCGTTAGCTTCCCAAACAAACACAAAACACCTCCCCTCTCCCTCCCTCACCAAAACCAGAACTCCAACACTGCCATCCTCAGCTGCAGCTCTGTTTAGCTTTTATACCCACCAGCTGGAAAATGGGACAAGTTATCCTGGCCAACTCACCATAGCCATCTCACCATGTCCATCTCTCCATGACCAACTCACTATGGGACAACTGACCACAGCCAACTTGCTGTTGAGAGAACTCACCACAGGACAATTCCATGTATTCAATATTTTCCATCTCTGTTTCTTCGACATTATTTTCATTCTTGTCAATTTCCACAAAAATGGAAATAATGTCGAAGAAACAAGGATGGATGACATTCATCCTATTGAATTATCCTGTGGTGAGTTGTCCTGCAGTGAGTTGTCCTGCTGCTAGTTGGCAGTGACAGGTTGTCCGATTCCTCCAGTTGCTGGGCTGGCTAGGGAGATGCCTTAAAGGAACAGGGCACCAGCAGCCTGGGTGCTGGGCATTTTGCAGACAATCTGTCCTCTCACAGAGGGATCAGTTGGGAATGTTGCTGCTGTACCAGCCTCCCTCCTGCATAGCAGCAACCTCCCTGTCTGAATTTGTACAGCTGAACACATCTAGAAAGTTAAGAGTATGCTATGGCATTCTCAGAAAATTTGAGCTACTGAGGAAAAAAGGAAGAGGATGGAGAAGGAGGAAGAGGAGGAGGAGGACCCCATAACCAGGTTGCCATTCGTGTCTCCAACATTTATGGTCTTGATGGGTTTCAATTTATCTTCCACAGTGAGGTGGTCCAAACTCTTCTTAAAAACTTCCTTTGTTGGAGCATCCATAACTTCTCGTGGCAAGCTGTTCCACTGATTAATTGTTCTAGCTATCAGGAAATTTCTCCTTAGTTCTAGGTTGGTTCTCTCCTTGACTGGTTTCCATCCATTGGTTCTTCTGTGATGTAACTTGGGACTTCATGGTTTCCGTCACAGTTATGGGCCAATTCCAGGTCCTGCAGGGCTCAACAGAGGACAGTGGTTGTACACTTGATCTAGCTTTTCCATTGGAGCACTGGCAATGTGACCTGGATTAGGGGAATTTCTAGTCATTCCTCTGTCATGATCAAGCCATGGAGTTTTCTGATGGAACCTCATGCCCCTGTTCTGACCTGGGCTTCCCAAGATCATGAAGCAGACTCCTTGTCCCAATAAAACCCCTTTTATTTAGGTTAAAGGGAATTCCTCTCCAGCAAAATCCCAACAAACAGTCTTTCATGAAGTTTCACAACTACAGACCTTTATCAGGCTTGGAAAGTTGCCAGGCCGATATCTTCCAAATGCCATGCTGTAGCAGCAATTACTTGGCAAGAAGTCAGGAACCTGCAAACACCACTCCCCTTTCACTCCTCTTTATTCCCTATGGGAGGGGGCATTCACCATCCACCTGAGCCTTTACTCCCGAGTCGACCCTTGTTCCTTAACTGTTCCCTTCTCCTGGCAGCTCTGCACAGGCGCACACTGAGAACAGGCTCTAGCTGTTCTTCTGCCTCACTGATGTCTGACTCCGAAGGCAGCTAATAACTGTCAGATGGCCCCATCTCTGCCTCTGACGCAGAGTACTTGTCAGAGCCTTCCCCAGACTCCAGAACTGGCCTATGTTCCTCCCTAACCTCCTCACTGTCTTAATCTGCCACAAGCTCTGCTGGCCGTTGGCGCGCCACAACAGCCCCAGAGAGATGGGACCTATAAATCATCACATATCGATTTATTGTATACTGTATGATTTCAGAGAGGACTAGGCTGTTGCGCTGACTGATTTCTGGGCTGATTTCCAGGTGTTTACTGATCAGATAGTAAAGGTCGAAGATACATGAAGCAACACTTCTGCTTGGCAGTCGTTCAGACACAACGAGTACAAACTGCAGGAAAAGCCAAATGTCGTTAAAAAAAACAAAAAACCAGCAAGCGTTTCACAGATGCTACAGAATAAGTGGAGAGATAGAGAAGAGAGCCGGTGTGAAGGTCAAAAGTTTGGAAAATATCTTTCCCACCATTTAAATCATCAGCATATATAGCAGGAAATCAACTGATTTTAGAGAATGTGAACTGACAACTTAATAAGGCGAGGAATCTTGCAGCGAAGAGGAGGTGGCAGAACCCACTGAAAGTCATCACAACAGGCTCAACAGCGTATAAAATATTCCCCAGCCTAAGAAATTGAGTTCACATTATCATGGCATGCAGAGAGGAAAAAAAGAAAACATGTTTTTGATTTTTTTTCACTCTGAGAAAGCTATTCTTGTTTGAAAGTCTGTAGAGATTCTCAGTCATGGTTATCCCAAAGGTGCTTTTTTTTGTGGGGGGGGGATTTTTTTAAATTTTTTATAACATGCAACATAACAAATAAAAAAACATCTTTCAATTATACAGTGTGTCGGTTTGGTATATATATTGTGTGCACAATATCTATAATCCTTTCATCCTAACTTTACATTCATGTTATATTCTAATCAACATTCTACAGTATATAATATTATCTTATTATTGTTCTATTATTAAACATACAACGAACGGTTGCAGGAACTGGGCTTGGCTAGTCTAGTAAAGAGAAGGACCAGGGGAGACATGATGGCGGTCTTCCAATATTTGAGGGGCTGCCACAGGGAGGAAGGGGTCAAGCTATTTTCTAAAGTGCCTGTAGGCCAGACAAGGAATAATGGATGGAAACTGAACAAGGAGAGATATAACTTGGAAATAACTTTCTGACAGTGAGAACAATCAACTAATGGAAGAGCTTGCCCTCAGAAGTTGTGGGAGCGCCATCACTTGAGACTTTCAAGAAGAGATTGGACTGCCATTTGTCAGAAATGGTGTAGGGTCACCCGCTTGGGCGGGGGGTTGGACTAGATGACCTACAAGGTCCCTTCCAACTCTGATTATCTGTTAAATCTGTTAAATTTAATTTTTAGTTTCATTTCCAGGCTATCTTTAAAAGCAAAACTCAGTTCTTACTAAATTATATTCATCATATTACTTATTTAAGAATAATCAATTATAACAAATCTTACTCAATTTCTCACTCTTCTATCTAGACATTGATAAAATAAATCCCAAATCTTATAATTCTCTTTTTCTTCTTGTTCTCTAATTGCTAATGTCAATCTGCTCATTTCTGCACATTCCATTATTTTCTTTATCATCTCTTCTTCTGTCGGAATTTTCTCATTTTTCCAATTTTGAGCAAATACAATTCTAGCTGCAGTTAAAACATTCATAATCAAATATGTTATCCCTTTGTTATAACCTTCAGATAAAATACCCAATAAAAATATTTCTGGTTTTAAGTCCTATATGCTGTTTTATCATTTTTTCCAACTATGTGTGTATTTTGAGTCCAATATCTTTTAGCTTCTGCACATGTCCACCACATATGGTAATATGGTCCAGGTATCTGATGACATTTCCAATATTTCACCGATTTGTCCTTGAACATTTTTGATATTCTTGCCGGGGGTAAATGCCACCTGTAAAACATCTTATACAAATTTTCTGGAGGTAACTGGACTTTCTTTCTTTTTTTCTTTTGAAGGCATTTCACATCTCATCCAAGAAGCTTCTTCAGCTCTGAAAGGATAGTAGGGAATGGAAAGATTTATGCTCTTTGCAGACAGCTGGTTATTTGCATCCTTTGAGAGGGTCCTTGAAGCACTTGGAGGTTTATCTGTCCCCAGTGCTCCTGGTTCCTGTAGTCTGCAGTTTTCCTTCTGGAAACCCATTCCTACTCCCAGCGCCATTCCAAGGCTGTCCATCCCAAATTGTATAGCTAAAAGTCTGTAGAGATGATCAAGTCAGAGCTGGAGAAGCTTCTTGGATGAGAAGCGAAATGTCTTCAAAGAAAAAACAAGAAAGTCCAGTTGCCTCCTAAAAAAAGCAACTTTGGGACATTTTTGTTTGACTTGAGTTAATTTTGTAACATATTAAGGGCACAATTATCACTCAGGGCTAATGAGAAGCCAAGTCAATCTCTTCTCCTGAATGGTCTTGGTCCGAAATGGCCATTTAGCTATTCTGGAAGGGTGAAAAAAAGTCAAGATGGCAGCTTACAAATCATGAGGAGGATTTTCAATCACAAGATCACAATCTCCATCTGGATTTTATTGACCCTCTGCCTTATTTATTTATTACATAGCCTTGAAAATTTGGTTTTGCCCCAGCAAAACCAAACTGAGACTCTAGAACAGGGGTCTCCAACCTTGGCAACTTTAAGACTTGTGGAGTTCAACTCCTAGAGTTCCTCAGCCAGCAAAGCTGGCTGAGGAACTCTGGGAGTTGAAGTCCACAAGTTTTAAAGTTGCCAAGGTTGGAGACCCCTGCTCTAGAAAGTCTCAATTTGGAGTTGAGACTCTAAAAAGAGTGCAGAGAAGACCAACAATGATGATTAGGGGGCTGGAGACTAAAACAAATGAAGAATGGTTGCAGGAATTGGGTTACATCTAGTCTAGTGAAAAGAAGGATCAGGGGAGACATGATAGCAGTCTTCCAATATTTGAGGGGTTGCCACAAACAAGGGGGAGTGTCAATTTATTCCCCCAAAGCCCCTGAAGGCAGGACAAGATGCAATGGATGGAAACTAATCAAGGAGAGAAGCAACCGAGAACTCAGGAGAAATTTCCTGACAGAACAATTAGTCAGAGGAACAGCTTGCCTCCAGAACTTGTGGGTGCTCTAATACTGGAGATTTTTAAGAAGATATTGGATAGCCATTTGTCTGAAATGGCATTGGCTTCCCGCTTGAGCAGGGGGTTGGACTAGAAGATCTCCAAGGTCCCTTCCAATTCTGTTATTCTGAGCTTCGGGCCCTGTGTACGTGTGTATTTTGGAGTCCATCTCCTGGCTTTGTGAATAATTGGTTAGATCAGTGAGTGGTCACCAACCAGTGGACTGGGAACCACTGGTGGTCCACAAGAAAATTTTGGTGGTCTGCAGAGAAATGTCCCCCCACCAAAGCAATTAATCCAGGCTGTGTGGGAACACAAGGCTGCGCCGCCCACATGGCCCACCTACCCGCTGGCCCCCACCCTCCAGCCAAGCGCAAACCTTATCTTGACTAGAGCCACGTGAGCTGGAACTGGAAGGTAAGACCAACGGCAGGGGAGGGAAATCCACCCCAGGGTGGCTTGCTGACGTTGATGGGAAAGTCAGTCCCATATTCCAGAGTTGCAGTAGTCACAGGACTGGCCCTTTGGTCATCCCAGAGCAGCTGCTCCTCCACCCGGGTGCACCGGCCTGCCATGGACTGGAGGAGCTGCTCCGGGATGACCAAAGGGCCAGTCCTGTGACTACTGCAGCTCTGGAATATGGGACTGACTTTCCCACCAATGTCAGCAAGCCACCGTCAGTCAAAATTCATATTAGTGGTCCGCGGGTTTTAAAATTATGAGTTTGGTGGTCCCTGAAGTCCAAAAGGTTGGCGACCCCTGGGTTAGATGATGTCTGGCTGCTATATATTTTATTTTATGGGTTTTATTTGGGGTGTTTTATTTATTTTACTTTAAGCCACCTGGAGTTTTGTCTGCTACCATGAGTCATGGCAGGTTACCATGACATGATATCTCCAGATAATTATTGATTTAGAGTTACGTACAAGTAGTCCTTGACTTACGACCATTTGCCCCAAATTTCTGTTGCTAAGCAAGAAATGTATTAAGTGACTTTTTGCGCCATTTTATGACCACAGTGGCTAAGTAAATCTCTGCTGTTGTTAAGTTAGCAACATGGTTATTAAGTGAATCTGGCTTCCCCATTTACTTTACTGGTCAGGTCACAAAAGGTGATCACATGACTCCATGACACTGCAACTGTCATAAAGTTGAGCCAAACATCTAAATGCTGATTCTGTGACCATGGAGATGCTGCAACGGTTATAAGTGTGGGAAAAAGGCCATGTCACTTTTCTCAGTGCTGTGGCAACATTTAATAGTCATTAAACGGTCATTAAACAAATGGTTATAAGCAGAGGTGGTATTCATCAGGTTCTGACCAGTTCTGGAGACCCGGTAGCAGAAATTCTGAGTAGTTCAGAGAACCGGCAAATACACCTCTGACTGGCCCCGCCCCCATCTATTCTCTACCTCCCGAGTCCCAGCTGATCGGCTGGGTCTTCTTTTGTTGCCCTGCATAGGAGAACGGAGCTGGAAAGCAGGTTAGTGGGGTGGGGAGGGAATGGGAATTTTGTAGTAATCTTCCCCCAGGAGTGGGGAAGGAATGGAGATTTTGCAGAATCCTTCCCCTGCCATGCCCACCAAGCCATGCCCACAGAACCGGCAGTAAAAAAAAATTGAATCCCACCACTGGTTATAAACCGAGGATTAGCTGTATTCATGTGTTCGAAGATGCACATGACTGCATGAGTGCACAACCACACTTTTAAAAGAGAAAAGTGATCTTAAAAAGGGAAGGGAAGAATGGATGGCATTTTCATTTTCATTTTTGCTTTGTTCCCAGAATGAAAGGTAGTAATAAACGAAATTGTATTGAACAGGTTTCTGCTGATCACTCCTTCTAGTCTAGTTCCATAAGAGAAGCGATCTCAGCCAATTTTTTCTTCGGTAGTTTGAGTCAAGGAGCTATTTCTCCCTGATAGACTGTTTACCAAGTCCAATCAATTCTGGCTGCAGTAATTTGCACTGGTACATTGCATGCTTTATTTAAAAGCAAGGTCTATCGATTGTGGCAGAACTCTCTTCCAATAAACGTGTTCAGCCACCAAGAATGTGGGACAATTTACAGAGATGGACATACGCATTTCCCACTCTGGAAAGGAATGCAAGTAGGACCAAAAGGGCACCCACAGCTGCTGTGGCCGGAGCTCTTCTAAAGAAAGGGCTCAGAATGGCAACCAAGTGTAGAAAGTTAGTTCCTAGAAGAATGAAATATTTTAGGAAATATTTAAAAAGGCAGAATATTATATTTTCCCCTAAAAGAGAAATAGAAATCTTAAGGGAGACAGAAACTCAGGGCTTCAGCTCCCTGTCCCCAGCAGATATTTGGTACCCATTCAGAAGGATGGGCAAACTTATCTACAAAACAAAAGACCTTCAGCTCCAGGGTGACGGGATTAAGACATGACCCTCCAGGACATAATAGGATTATCTAGCAGCAGGGCTCACTGCTTTGCAAAATCCCCTGCAAACATTGCATCACCCTCCAGGCTTCAACAAAACTTGATTCAGACCAACTGATCCCACGTGGCCCCGTGGGAGTCTGCCTACAGCCAATAAAATACATTTCTTGCACAGGAACAGGAAGCTCAAGGGAAAGGCCCAAGAGAGGGTATAAATAACACTCACTCCCTACTCCGTGTGGTCAGCTTGATGGTTCATGCTCCATTAAACCCTCTTTCCAATCAGCCTCCATGTTTCTAGTGTCTTTCTCCCCACTTGGAACTGAACCAGATGGATATTTCTTCCAACACAAGGAAGCAATGATGAGTAGCAACAGTGTCTGCTTTCGAAACGCAGCTAGTCCTCGACGTACGACCGCAACTGAGCCCCAAAGTTTCTGTTGCTAAGCAAAACAGCTGTTAAGTGAGGTTTGCCCCATTTTACGATCTTACTTGCCCAGGTTGTGAAGTGAATCCCTGCAGTTGTTAAGTTAGTTACGCAGTCGTTAAGTGAATCAGGTGTCCCCATTGACTATGGTCGTCAGAAAGTTGCAAGTGGCAATGAAATGACCCAGGGACACTGCAATCGTCAGTTGCCAAGGATCTGAATTTTGATCGTGTGACCATGGGGGATGGTGGAGCTACAATGGTCATAAGTGAATTTCAACTCTGGATTGAAAGTAGCCCTGCAGAGTGTTCTGTCACCAGTAAAGAGACTCACAGACCGGAGTTGAATTCAGCTCTTTAATAATAACAGTAACTTCAACTGCAGTCGAACTGCAGCAGCCCTTTTTATAGCAGCTGTTCCATGGCTCGCAACCAATGACATTTAGTTAAACTTCCCGCCGCTATTGGCGGCCAATCAGGTACTAACGTTACTAACCAATCGTATCGTTGCTTCTCTTAACCAATAGGAACATCGCCCTAGAAGTCTCTATTTAAATACACCACACAGAGGTCCATCATTCTTCGAATGGTGGAGGGTGAGCTTCATTGTGAAGTAAGTTGGCCATTTCAGTGCCATTTGGGCATATTTCCCTGGAATTGAAAGCTGTCTTCTTAAATTACCCTAATATAAATATTTTGACTATTTTGACTATGAGCTCCTCTCAAATCCAAATACCTAGCTCTTGATTTTTGCTAAAATCAGAACTAACTAGTGCAAATAGGTAATATAAGATAAGATAGACAGCAATTAAATTCTAACCAGCTCAGGGTTGAGCTCAGCTTTCCATCTTTCCGAGGTGGGTAAAACGAGGACCCAGATTGTTGGGGGCAAGATGCTGACTCTGTAAACTGCTTAGAGAGGGCTGTAAAGCACTGTGAAGTGGTATATAAGTCTAAGTGCTATTGCTAAGTGCTATATGCATCAAAAAGAGATGTTGGC